ACTGAGCGGCCTTCCCCGCGAATGTAAGATGCCTCTCGGAAAGAAGCAGAATCTGTTCGGAGTGTGCCACACAGAAGAAGGTACGCGTGCTAATCTCTTTGATAGGGGCTCAAGGTGATCTGATCAATAACAACTACCCTGAGCTGGATCCAAGCTCACTTGGTCTGCCTCCTGATGTGTCACGGGAAGGGTTGCCAAACTGTGACGAGTACTCACCAAATTATGAGACACCCTGCACAGCGAAAGGTCCGCTTCTCATTAACTGAGCCTGATAGAAGAGTGCTAATCTGATTGTGCTTAGACATGTTTCGACAGCTCAAGAAGTTCGCACCGCTATTCGCGCCAAACCAAGAATCGTCTTATTCCAATGTCGCGTTCGAACTGCTTGGTCTTGTCCTCTCGCGGGTGACAAACCAGACCTACGAGACCTACATTGATGAAGCCATCTTCAAGCCCTTGAACATGTCTACCAGCACTCTCTCCAAGCCTGCCGATTCTGCTGGCGTCATTCCCGCTGGTCCACAATTCTGGGGTGTGGACGAAGGCATCCAAAATCCTACCGGCGGCATCTACAGCTCGTCGAGGGACCTGTCGAAATATCTCCGCTACGTCCTAACCCACTACAACGCCATCACCCACGCGATCAATTGGCTACATCCCGTCTCTTCGTCTCGCGGATTGAACTCCTTCTATGGCATGCCGTGGGAGATTTACCAAACAGATCGCATACTTGAGCGGTCGAAACGCACTGTACGCTTTGTCACTAAGAGTGGAGGGTTGCCGGGCTATACCTCCATCGTCATAACAGTGCCGGAGTACGACTTGGGTATCACTATTCTGGTCGCGGGTCCCAACGCAATCTTGTCCAAGATCATGGACATTGTTACAGTAAAGATAGTGCAAACAGCCGAAAAGCTTGCTATACAGCAAATGCGTAACCGCTATGCGGGCACCTACAGCGCTTCAGATCCAGAAGTGAATTCCACGGCCACACTGAAAGCTGATTACCGCGGACTTGTTGTTACAACCTTTGTTTCTAACGGGACGGTTGTCTTCGAAGCACCGATCACGAAAGACGTGACGACTCAGCCCCGTTATGCGCAGCTCAGCCCAACCCTTCTCTATCGCAACGAGGAAGAACATAAGGGGGAGGAGTGGCGTGCATTGATCTTCGAGGAGCGCGCAGAAGGGCTGGGCTCTATTTGGGACGACTTCTGCGTAGAAGACTGGGAGATGTCTAGCTATGCCGGCATACCTTTGAACACAGCGGTGTTCTGGGATGAGCAAAAAGACGGTCATTTCGAAACACTAGAGCTACCGGCTTTCCGCGTGAATCTCACAAGAGTGGATCAGAAGAGGGGGTCGAATGGGAAGTATGGTCAACAAGAAACGATGGAGCTCTAAGGCCCCACATTGCAGACCGGCAGGGCGGCTTGCGGTCATCCTCTCCACCACGTGAATCATGGCCGAACGACGAATCTATGAGTCGCTGCAGCTAGTACAGATCACTTGAGCGCATATACCACATTCCTCTAGAATATCTGCAGAACGAAGGATTCGCCAAGACTCGCCAATCTTTCTGTCCACGGCGCTTGCATCTGCCGTGTCCAAAGAACATTCGGTTTTATCACAGCGACCATGGGTGACTGACTAGCCTAGTGTTTCCGAGCTTGATTAAAGACCGTGCTAGACTGGATCTACATGCGGAGCTAAACTCTAAAACTCACATGCAGGGCCGAACCACGTTTTCGCAAAGGCGATTGCCATCACTTGGGAGCAGTGGAATACCGTTCTTCACCGGGTTCATGTACCTCCGATGATCGACGCTGCTGGTGTTGGAACTGTTCGAGGGCTTTTCCACTAGCGAAGCCTTATAACTGTATACACTAGGCAAGCCTTGTGGCAATTGGCAGAACGCCAGAATGATTGCCACGTCAAATGCCGATCAGGTTCGCATCATGTTCACCTCCTCGTGATGCCTGACAGGCCGACATTCAGTACTGTGAGAACATGGGTGCTCATACAGCTACCGACCCCGACAATCTCGCTTGAGCGCGTCATACATATCTTGGCAAAATCTTCCTCACTCACAAACGTCATACCTCATACACAAAGTATGTGAGTTTTCGACACATTCGACGTGTGAAGCCAGCAAAGGTAAAAGCCAGACATCGGAGGGTTTGTCGCTCGTTGGGCTCAAGATCCACGTGGAATTCGCCGTAGCAGCGGCACAGCAACGAACTAAAGTCAGGGCACCGTCTAGCTCATAGACTGCCGATTGCGGCCGAGCACGTTTTGTGTGGCGCGCCTTGTGGAAGACACTCCGTGACGAGGATGGTAGCTGCGCTACGTGGTGCTTGTAACATACTAACGGTGCTTTGATGTTCGGGAGGCTAGGATTTTGACGTCCATTGCCGCCTCTGCGTAACCTGTACCTGCCGTGTATAAGCCCCTGTTCTTATCCTGGTTCATATGGCTTTTTGTTTTACCCTGTTTGATCCGCAATCCGTCGCTTAACATAATTCTCCTTCCTCTTTTGTTTTCTCGCGCAGGGCTTCTCGTACGACGTTGTCTCGATACGTACGGTCGGAAACAATCTGGGGTACAGCCTCATTCTATGCGGGTTCCGACATGAAGTTCTTCTCCGCACTACTGTGCCTCGTCTTTGCGCCTTTGTCTTTTGCGCAAAGTCAGAGCGGAAACGATGTGCTTGCGTCTGCAGTCAAGAATCTGCCTCCATGCGCGGTATGTATACCATGTCCATATAGAAGACTCCATACTAATTTCGGTAATATAGTTAGATTGCACACTCACAATAATCTCGTCATCAACATGTCAGCTCACAGACATCGACTGCATCAAGGGCAACGAGAAGCTTATCGATGACTTAAGCAAATGTGTCTTGGCTAGCTGCAAGCCAAAAGAAGCACTGAGTAGGTCCTCTCTCATATTTACTCGTTGAACTTTGTGCTAATTGCCTGTGAAGCGGCGAAGAGGTTTCTTACTGAGTTGATGGATGCGCCCATTCGCAACAAGACGGAACAAGGCACCGTCACTACAATAGTCTTTGGAGTACTATCCTTGGGAGCCTACATCCTACGCGTGATCGCACGCCTTCCCTGGTTCGGCGGAAATTGGGGCATTGACGATTGGGTTATGACTGCGGCCATCATACTCATCATCCCACTCACGATATGCGCCTACCTTCTGAACCTTTTGGGATTGGGTACGGATATGTGGATGGTGTCTTTCGAGAACATTACCAAGATTCTCGAGGTATGTGAAGAGTTATGCAAGCCATGATGTCCCGCGCTGACCAATGTTCGATAATAGATCTTCTACTACACGGAGCTTCTCTACCTTGCGTCAATCGCATTGACCAAGATAGCAGTCTTGCTCTTCTACCTCCGCATCTTCCCTCACCAGGGTCTCCGACGCGTCATCCACGTTACTATCGTGATCTGCATCATGTACATCATCGCATTCGTCACAGCGACTGCGCTGCAATGTATTCCGATACGCATTGCGTGGGAACACTGGGACGGCGAGCATCACGGAAAATGCATCAACCTCAACGCCGATGCCTGGGCTTCTGCCGCGGTCAACATCCTTCTCGATCTAGTCGTCATTGTTATCCCTATGAGAGAGCTCAGCAAGCTTGCCATGACCCGTCGGCGCAAGTTTGGCATCATGTGCATGTTCCTCGGTGGAGGCTTGTAAGTCTAGTTCCCACATCTCACCTTGCCTCAACTAACATTCCCTCAGCGTCACCATCGTCAGCATCCTCCGCCTCAAATACATGATCCAGTTCGCGCAAACCACCAACGTGACCTGGGACTACCTACCCATCGGATACTGGTCCGCCATCGAAGCCCACGTCGGCGCCATCGTCGCCTGCGCACCCGCTATCCGCCAACTACAACGTTCCATCCGCGAACGAATCTGGCCCAAACAGAAGACACCAAGTCAATACTACTACGCCGAGAACTCGGGCAACAGCAGCAAGAAGAACAATGGCAGCAAAGACCTCAAGTCCCGCATCTGGCTACCGAAGACCGATCGCTCTCAACTGAGCACGCTTGGTCGGAGTAAAATGGACAAAGACGACTTCGTCCGCCTAGACGAGTACGAGATGGGCGTTGGCATGGGCGGAAAAGACAGCGTCCTCACAGACAGGAATTCCCCGGTAAACTCTTCGGAAGGGTCGCTGGATCGGTCGTTCAAGTCGAATGAGGATGTGCAGCCGTTGGCCGATGTAGCGGCGCCGGCGCCGGTGGTTGGCTCGCCAATGGGCGGTATTATGGTGCAGTCGGAGTACAGTGTTGATCGGGGGAGCTCGCATCCGAGTTTGCAGGCTTTACCACCCATTCAGCATAAGAAGGAGAAGTCGTTGGATGCGAGGAGGTGGCTTTGATATGAGGTGGTATGGCAACGCGACTTTCTATGATCTATGAACTTTGGCAGATACCCAATTATACATATTAATGCATCGAAGTACAAAATTCAACCCTCAATGTGCTATAGCCCTCGTACAATGTTCCCGCACTTTGCGCACGCCTCAAAAGGCGCTCTACCGTTTTCGATCGGTCACCACACCGCACCTCACCAATTCACCAACCCCCAAACCCGCCGCACACCCAAACAGCCATCCCCACCCATCGAATAGTTACAAATACCATACCCCTAGGTAAGCAGAAAAGCCAAGCCTTCCAACCTCATGACGACAGCCAACGATTCAAGCACCAGCGCAGCGGCCTGACGCGTGCCGGCACGCCTCGCCCACTTACCGCACCAACAACAGCAGCCAGGAAAACAAGGCAGCTACGGCGGTTCTTGAATCGTGGTATTGCGCCAGCGTAGGAAGTTAGGGTGGGGTGGGTCGCGAGACCCGCACCGGCTCGGTAGATCAGGCCCCACTGTGTGAGGCTAAGGGACGGAGCAGGGAGGGGGTTGGTGGCTCGGTGGAGGTTCGGGATGGTGGTAGATGCTGAGGAATTCGATCACATCCTCTGTCGTAGTCCTGGCGGTTCCACGTCGTTTCCCGTGGATGTCACTGTTGTGCCTTCGTACGTTTTCCTCTTCGCAGCATCCTCGCTTGCAGTATCCTCCCTCGTAGTCTTCTCCCTTAGCTTCCTTTTGTGCTCATCTTCCTTCTTCTGTTTCTCGTTCCAGACGTAAAATGTAAGCAGAACGAAAGCACTGGTGGGTATTGCTATCACAAAGAACAACCAAACGCTACGGCTCGCTTCATCAAATGGGACGTCACCGGCGATGCCGTTGAAGAAGTTCATGCCAAAGAAGGAAGAGACAAAGGTGGCCGGGAGGAACGCCATTGTTACCCACGCTACGCCACTCATCAGGCGACTGTCTCGTTGGGTTGCTTTCGCAATCTCGAGGTTTTGTTGCAGAAGTTCCCATTCTTCCTTCCTCCGAACATCTTCTAGCTCTTGAAGCTTCTCCTGTCTTTCCTGCTGCCTTTCCGCAATAACATCTTCAATATGTTGGTGGACCTCCGCGGCAACTTCTCGCAATCGATCTGGATGGTACTGCTCTATGTCTTGAGCCAAAAACGGCTTTTCTGACGTTATGGGCGCGTGAAACTGTGACGCTGAGATATCCTTTGCCCACTCTGCAGCATCTTTGCTAAACGTAAGCTTAATTTCTAGGCTTGCAGCTCTAATCCTACGGCTGATGGTATTGAGTGACCGAAGCAAGCTGCTAGGACGTTGATCCGAGTTTAGGGAGTCTTCCACCTTGTTGATCGCTTCCATGAATCCCTTCCTCTCTGTTTCAACAATTGCTACGTACATGCGTATGTATTGGTGAAGAAGTTCAACGAAAAATTTGCTGGGTGCTTTCGCTGAACTTGGGTCCGCATCGTCGATGTCTGTGTACGATTTCATATGCAAGTCGAAAATTCCAAAGGGGATCATTCCCAAATAGCTCTCCTTGTCATAGGCGAGTAATGCCAGCCATTCTTCTTGAATGCCTTCAGTTTCAACCTTCTTGAGCCAGAATTTCATGTATGGAACGGAATTTTTGGGTGTCTCGAAAAGCACACTATGCTGGTCTTTGGAAAAGAGGCGCCCCGTGGTTGAAGTCTGGTTCACCCCGGATAACAAGGATCGATGTTGACTATCAATGTTCCGTGTGAGGTATCCCGAGAATATTGGTATATCAGATCTTGTTATCCATTCGGGGAGCGGTAACTCGAAAACGGTGATGCTGGTGGTCGACACAGCCAGGGTTGGAGGTACTGACGTATTTTCGCTGAATTGGGTCTCAGACCGCAGCGCATTGAAGAATTCGACAACGTCGCTGAATTTCTTGAATATGGTACTTTCAGACTGTTTTTGGACGAAACCTCTTCCGTGCGCGATAGAAGTATATACGCTCCTGCGAGACCCGAAATCTTGAATATCAAGGTCTCCCAAGAGTATTCTGTAGAACTCCTCCCCCATAATCGTCACACAATATACCAAAAGAAAGATGCGACGAGAACAATAGAGTGGATAATGGCACAAGGCTGGACCACTCGAGAGAATATATCACTCCAGTTCAGCTGCCAAGAGCCCCATACCCATGCGCGCCTCCAAGATCTGCATGACAAAAACTTCGTGCCACAGGATTCCAGACCATAAACTGTCATCCAGAAACGCCCCAGGCGCTAAACCGGTTGGCTACGAGCGATTCTGAGAACACCATGCAGCCACCACGAAATGACCGTGCGATAAATGTGGGCCAGCCTTGTCGCCTACTTGCCGAGAACATTACACTCATCGTATGATTGGCTGCATAGCATGGCAGGTGGCGAATCTCAGCCTCTTGCGTTCACTCGCGCGATTGGGGATCCACAGAAACAACGAAAGATAAGCTAATTCCCTCGAAAAAGGCACCGTTTGAAGAAACAAGAACCAACCTTGCAACCTCCAATCAGCATCCAGATGCGCGTCAATCAACAGGCAGAGCTCGACAACACCCCTCCCCCTCCCTCAGCCTCACCACCCCACCCCAACCCCGGCGCCATCCTACCCAGCCCCATCCCCTCCCACAACCCCGCAACATCCAACAGCAACCCCTCCCGATACTCCGCCCCAACAACCAGCAACCCAAACGGCCGTCCATTCCAATCCAGATACTTAAGTGGTAGAGTCACCGAAGGATATCCTGTTATCATTATTTTAGCAAGAGATGCTCGTAGAAGTAGAAAGACTGGGCAAGGCAAGGCAAGGAACTTACTAGCCAAAGCAACAACGTCAGGTAATCTGCTATCTGCTGGACCTATGATGACGTCGACGTTGTGATAGTGGAGGGTTTTGTCGATCGCATCATCAGCGGCCGACGCGGTCGCCTTTATATCAAGACGGGTGTACTCTGCGTCCGTAAGGGAGTTCGCTGCTTGGAGGCTTTGGATGAGCTTGTCTTGGTTTGGAGAATCTGATGATAGTTGTATTTAGTGGTGAATATGAGATGAAGAAGGTATGTATAGGTAGGTTCTTACGCTCTGGTAACTCGATCTTGCGATGTTGTTCAGTGAACTCGATCAGCTCCTTTAGGGTCTTCACTTTAGGCGTGTCCAGACCGTTTGTGTAGGCTTCGAAGAGGTTGGAGAAATCGTTTTCTGGGATGTGTTAGGATTATCTTCCATCTTTGGCTTTAATGAGCTCACTTATTGTGGCCAAGACGTCGTTCATGCTCTCATCTAATGTTTCGTCGGTAATCAGGTCGACTGGACCAACAACGCGCTTAGCGAGGCTTTCGATCTTTTCGTAGGCGGCAAGTGTCTCCCGTATCTGCTCTCTAGTAAGTTACGTTTTCTTTCCTTAAGAGGTACACTTACAATCTCATCCAACGCCCCAGGCCTCGGTTTCTGCACCCCTTCCGCCAAACACCAACGTCTCGGATCCAACGTAGCGAACGAAACATCCCCCCACTCCCTCGAAACCTCAGTCCCATACCCTCTCTCAGGCACTCCCGGATGCTCAACATCCACAATAACATTAGGCAGCCCAACAAGATCCGCAACACACTTCGCCATCGGCCCAACACTATCCCTGTTCTTCGAGAACGGGAAGCATCCGCGTCCCGATACTATACCAGGCGTAGTGCGTATGGTATACAGCGCAGCACGAGTAGCTGGATTTGTGAGCGAGCCGTTGAAGTCGGCGCCGATGGAGAGAGGGGCGAAGCCTGCGCTGACGGCTACGGCTGAGCCTGTTGATGAGCCGGATGAGTTCTGTGGGGTAGTGAGCATTGGGATACGGGTTCATGCCCAGAGAGGCTTTACTGAATGGCCGTAGATACCGTCATCGACTACACCGCCGCGCACATATGCGGATTGAGTCTGTCCTCCACGTGCAGACCAGCCGCCGCTCATTCCGGACTGGGTGGGTGGGGGAGGCGGAGGAGGGGCGGTGGTGGAAGTAATCTCTCCCTAATATCCTTCGCGTTGGTCGATTCAACTGAACGTAGCTTTCGTGGAGTTTGAGTAAGAGCAGCCCTGTGCATTGGTATAACATGTCCACGCCGTAGGTAGTCATCGCTCGTCCATCGATAAGCTCATCCGTTCACCTCCTCAGTCCGCTTCTTACTCTGACCCTCATTACCATCTCGCGAAGAGCCTCTTTGCGCTGTATCTTGTCTGAATCATATCCACCATGAAACATGACCTGTTGAACGTCACAGCGAGCGACCTACAGCGCCTTCTGGGCGACGGACGGACGCATCACGAGCCTTGATCTCGTACGACAGTACCACATCCAGATCCTCGGATATAACGACAGAGTCAAAGCTATGATTTCCGTCTCGCCGGTTTCATATCTAGACAAGATGGCAGTGGGTGCTAGACTGATCTTGATGTGGACATTTCCACCGAGGAAGACGCCGGATTTGGACTGTGGTGGTAAGGCGTCGGGTACCGTTGTATAAGTGGTATATGTCGCTACAACCCTGGGTCTAAATGACGTGCGTTGTCAGAATGGCATGAACTCAGATCGGTAGGTGTCATTTCACTCCTCCAGTTCATATCGAATTCTATCATATCACATGGCCCCTATCTTCTCATGTATATCCAAGCGCATCACATCCTCCCACTCAGTCACGCATACCCATTCGCCTTAAGCCACTCCCTAACAACCCCCGCATCCCTCTCAGCATAAGCCGCATAACTCCTAATCGTATCATCCACAACCTCGAGCCCCTTATTATACCCCCTCGTATCCTTCCCCTTGAAGAACTCCTGAATCTCATCCGCCACCTTCGCATCCGTAAACTTATTCAGACCAAACCTGAGGAACCTCTCTAGCACAACAGGGTTACCAGCAAGCGCAGGATGCACCTTGCTATCCCAGTTGTCGCGGATGTAGTGCCAGACCTCCGGGCGGACCTTTGAGTTGTTGGCGAGGGCAATGGTGGAGCTATGCTTGTCTTGCATGGCGACGGCATCGGAGAAGACAAAGTCCATGACTTGCTTTGCGAGGTCGGGCGTTTGGACGCGGCCGAGGGAGCCGAGGCATATTTCCTTGCCGTCGATGGACGTGGTGTGGAGGTATTCGTTTTGGACGGCTTTGAGGGCTGGCTCGCCGCGGTTCTTAATGGCGGTGGCGAAGACGGCGCGGCGGAGGGAGGGGTGGATGGCCTTGTTGTCTCCATTGATATAAGCGTCGAAGCGCTTGAGGGCCTCCTCGACTGTGGCTTTGTGGCCGACGATGCCGGCGGAGAGGATGAGGCTGGCGCGAAGTTGGCCGACGAGGTAGTTCTCGCCATCCTTGAACTCCCAGCCGACCTTTTCGACTGCTGGGGTGATGAGCTTGAGGTGGTACTTTCTCAGTCCCTCGCTGATGTCTTCGCTGCCGGAGAAGACGCTGCGGACGTTGCCAATGTTGGTCAGAATCTGAGACCATACAAGGTAGTCAGACTCGTCCTGGAAGCGCTCTGCCAGTGCGAGGAGACCAGCGGTGGAGCCGTACCCGGCCACTGCGTTGGCGTAGGCGTCACCCACGAGGCCAATCTTGTCTTGTACGGTGAGCTGATCGCGGTCTTCTCCAAGCTTCTTCAGGCGGTCGGCAGGGTAATTGGTGCGATAGAAGCCAGTGAGGTCCTTGTTGAGCAGGTAGAAGCTGTCGCTGACGTTGCGGATTGTGTCTTCCTTCTGTGTCATAGCAGTGGTCTCGTGAACAGACGCGCTGGAAGCTGACTCGCCAGAGTGAAGGCCAAGCGGAATCCACCAGGTAGTTTGATCCTCTTCGGGCTTGACGTTACCCGCAAGGAGGAAGCGCTGTTGACGCAGTCCAATCTGACCAGGCTCTTCAGCTACGGTGACGACTGGGAAACCGATCCTGCGAACCCAGAGGTCCATGAAGGTGTTGACGTTTTGACCAGACGCCTTGCTCAGGGCAGACCACAGGTCGTTGGTAGTGGCATTGGAGTACTGGTGGGCTTTGAGATAGTCGGCGACACCCTGCAGGAAGACCTTCTCGCCAAGGTGAGCGCTCAACATGCGGATGACTGAGGAACCCTTGAGGTAAGAGATGTGGTCGAAAATCTGGTCGACCTCAAGACCGTCGTATACGGGTACTTCGATGGGGTGCGATGTTCGTAGCGCGTCAAGGGCGAAAGCTTGTTGGACGGATTCAGTCTAGAGAAATAGTCAATAGGCTGGTAGTAGATACCTCGAGATTTGTGACGTACGACAAACTGTCCCCAGACGTTCCATTCTAGTGAGAGTTAGCAGGTTTCTGCCGTAGTAGTGATTTGACGTACCTGGGTATAGATGATCAATGGCAAGCCATCCGACCCATGTCGCGAAACCCTCGTTGAGCCAAAGCTCGCTCCACCAGTCCATGGTGACTAGGTTACCGAACCACTGATGGGCAAGTTCGTGAGCAACAACGTAGGCGACCCTGTTGCGGTAGCTGTCGGCAGATGTGGCGGGATCGAAGAGTACGGCAGTAGTCCTAGGTACGTTAACACAAAGTCCAGTTTGTTCAAGCGCTGGACGCACCTGTAGGTGATGAGACCCCAGTTCTCCATAGCTCCGTGCGAGAACTCGTGAACAGCCAGCAGATCGACCTTGGGAAGCGGGTAGTCAATCTGGAATACCTCGGAGAAGTAGTCGACAATCTTGTGGCAGTTGTCCAGAGCGAAACGACCCTGCTCCTTGAGACCGCGGGTGGTGTAGACCCTGACAGGAATGTTCTTGCCGTTGTACTTGCGCTCGGTGAAAGCCTCGACGTACTCAAAGTCACCAATCGCCCACGCCAGCAGATATGTAGACATGATGGGCGATCGCTCGAATACGACAGTGTGGAAGCCGTCGCGCTTGCTGGGCTTGATCTCCTTCTCGGGCATGTTGCTGAGGGCGACCTGGTCCTTGGGCACTTCGAGCTCGACATCAAAGGTGGCTTTCAGGTTGGGCTCGTCGAAGCAGGGGAAGGCGCGGCGGGCGTCGCAGGCCTCGAACTGGGTGCTGAACATGTAGTGGAACTCGTCGTCCTTTGCGACGGAAGCGGGGACGTCGCCCTTGGGCTTGTACTTGGAGCGGTAGAAGCCAGCCATGATGTTGTTGACGAAGCCCTCGAACTTTATCTCCAGCTGAGCTTCGCCTGAGTAACTGATCTTCTCGCCAAAGTCGAGTGTGACCTGTTGCCTCTTCTCATCGTATGAGATGTCCTTTGCTGACAGTGTCTTGTCGCCAGCCTTCAGCTCGGCGGTTTGCAGCTTGAGCTGATGCGCGTTGAGGACGAGGGTGCTGAAGCCATCGTCCTTTGTGATTTTGGTGGTGATGTTGACGGTACCCTTGTAGCCAAACTTGCCGCCGAATTCGAGGTCGTGGAGGGAGAGGGCGTAGTGCGAGGGTTTGGCCCTGATATGTTAGCTTGGTCACGGTACTAGGGATGTATCAACTAACCATGCGGGGAGGACATCGCGATCTGAAGCCATGTTGACGAAACTGCTGGTGACTTCGCTCTGGCAGAACCTCTTTTGTGCTGCAAATGTGTTTGTGTTTGCTACGGCAAGCCTCGGTCTTAGGCGTAACTGGGTACGTGGGGCAGAATCAAGCTCTCTAGCTGCAGAAGAGAAGCTTCTAGAGCGGGTGAAGTGGGTCGGGGAGAGTGAATGCGATAGAGCAGAATACAGACGCGTAGGATGGTTAGCTCTACACCTCAATTGTCGAGAGCAGAGTCTCGCGGAAACCAGTAGGTTAGCCAGAGTGAAGGTCCGCGGGGGAGGCGGCCAGGGAACGTGAACGGAACAGGCTTGAGCAAAAGAGGAAAGAGGGGTGTCAATGTTTCAATTGGACTGGCATGAGATGATGCGTGTAGGCTTAGAGGGGAAGGTGCGCGTGCGGCACGCCGAAGCGCCCCACCTAGGCTGAATCCCTGCGTTCGGCTTTAGCGCGGGGTCTTGGGTGCATTTATTAGATCCAGATGGGAGGATGCTTGGAAGTCGGAAATAGTTCTTATCCTGTTGTATTTGATGGACCGACGTGGTGGGGTGTAGCGCGTCTTCTCTGCAATGCCCTCTACCTTCTCCATATGATTGTAGCACATCTATCACGCATGAATCGGTGGATATCAATCCTGAAAGTGGTATGCCATTGACGCCTGCAAATGCTTCAGTATACGCCCCAGCCATGCGATAGTATCCTTTCCACCACGCCTACCAGCCACAAACGCCTCGCACACCTCTACATTGCAGACCCGCACCCCCATCTCCCCAATCCACCCCCTCCATTCAAACCCGAATCAAAACATCCAAACATTGTATCCTCCACTCCTTCTTCCCCAACAACCCCTTAACCCACTCATAACTCTGCCCTCCAGCTTCACTCCCCTGTCCTAATCCAACCCTCCCCTTAACCCCCTCAACCGCCCCCCTCACCACCGCCTTGGCCGTATGATTCGCCGCCTGCGCCAACACACCCGCTGTTTCCGCAACCGTGCCATTCAGCGCCAGCTCCGCGCTATCGGACAGCGGCGCATCGAACCACGGGGTGTGGAAGTCGAAGAGGGCGACGACGAGGATGAAGAGGAGGAGCGAGCAGTACACGCATGGTCGGTTTAGGAAGTAGGTTGCTGAGATGAAGAGGACGAGGTAGACGGGTGAGGCGTGCGTTCGTAATCTGCGGGGGACGTGTTAGAGAGGGAATGCGCGTGGAGTGAGAGGGAGATGGGGTGGGTGGGTGTGTGCTTACAGGAAGAACAGGACGGGGATCCAGCTGCGGAGGCAGAACATGGCGGGTTGGTGGGTTGTGGGCGTGACTGTGTAGGTAGGGAGCCTCGCGTGCGCACGCTGCAGCCCTGACGTATTCGTCGGTCGGTCGTGTGAGGCGCGCACTTTACGGCGATAACTGAGGCGAATGCGATAATCGTCGACGGGCGGACGTGGATGCGCTGACTAATGCGATAAGTCGGCGAGGCGAATGGGCAACGTGGAAACAGCGAGCGGACGAAGAAATAGCAAATGGGTTTATGAGGATAACAAAGTATCAAAGGTAAGAGGGCTGACGGCTGCGAGATCCATGGCTGGTGCGGAGTCCTGGCCGCCGAATTAGCGTCCGCTGATTGGCAGTGCGCCTCCAGGTAAGCATTCGGCTCCCCTTGAAGCCTCGAGGCTGCAGTCGGTGGCGCACATGCATGCACTGCTTTTCTCCTGTCTCAGCCTTATCGCTTGCATATTCAGTACATTCCTCTGACCATCTCACGTCTATTCATTTCAAGGTATCTTCCTACATGCCCATTCACCCGTCGTGTGATGTCGTCCAACTCGTCCAATGCCCAACCAGCCAACTATCAGAGGCTGCCTCCTTCCATAAAAATGCCACAAAACGCCCACCTAACACAAATATGCCCAGATACGAAGCAGAGTAGGACCGAACTCGGCCGCCAACAGCAGAAGGGAGCAGCGTCCATGCGCGCGCGGTCTATACGGGCAGGTTGAACTTCTTGCCTTGGATGACCCTAATGTTCAATTAGCATGTTGATGCGACTTCAATGGCGGTTGGAAACTTACTTGGTGTAGTAAATGTAGAAGAAATCAGAGTACAGGATCGTCTGGATGATGCCGGCAATCACCGCGATCGGGTCGTAGAACTTGGGCACCTCGAAGAAGTAGCGGTAGATCCAGTTGGGGATGTACAGCGCCCGGTACGCACCCAGCGCGAACAGGTAGTGTGTCGTGATCGTTTCCGCCTCGCCGGTCCTTTGCAGCATGAAGAGCTGGGGCAGAATGGCGACTGATTCCAGCCAGATGGAGAAAGCCCAAAGTATCTGTTTCAGTCAGCACCTTCCTCTTCCGTTGCAAGTCCTGCTGCTACCCACCTCAGAGAATGTGTATTTGTACGGAAACAGTATCGCCAGCACCGCGCTCGCTCCCAGCAGATATTGCACCTTGAACGTGTCGAGATTCGGATCGTGCGTCGGCTTGTAGTCGTTGAGCATAAGGTAGACGGTGTAGGCGGATGTGCTGATGAAGATGATTTTGAAAATGGTATTGTAGAGCGACTTGGGTTCGTAGAAGGTCCACAGCAGGTCGACGTAACGCGTGAGATAGACCATCAAATAGAGGAATTGTGACTTGAACGAGATGCCGGACGCGCTCTATGCCATGTCAGTATATGCGGCGCATTACGTGTGCAATTCCGATAGACGTACGCTCGACACCTTCATCTTATGCAGCAGAATCAGGATGGACAGCAGGTGGGACAAATCCCCTAAGACGTGTTAGCACATCATACTCAAAGCATCATTTGGTGTCGCGAGGCCTACCCAGCAGTCGGAAGAGATTCATCATGGCGGTGCGTGGGTCGCTGGTCGCGGCGAAAGGAGCGGCAGAGGTTTGGCGACGTGAGGCGTGGTGGGAGGTGGGTGTTGAGTGCCTGACATAAAAGACACGTTCCGCCAGCTGCTTCACGTAGGGATGGAGCTGTGGAGCCTTGCACGCCAAGACATGCCCCTGCCGCCAACGTCATCCCGATCGCCGCTACTTCCCGCAGCAGTTCGCACCACTGTCGCCATACACTCACCACTTTCACCAGCAGTCAGACATGGCCTATCTTCTTGGGTGGAAAGACATCCTCAGGCCGATCCGCGATGGTTACCGCCATCTGTTTCCCACCCCGGACACTGGGCCTACACCGGAAGAGAGACGCCATCAGCGCGCTTTAGATCGACTGAAGGGCTTCGCCTACTCCGATACCTTTGATCAATTGGAATCGTGGACTGAGGCTGATTCTGACCCTCTGCAAAGAGCCAATACACCGCTGTTGCGCGCCACCGGTGGAGTCCCGACCGACGACTGCAAAACTGGTGTTCTATTGATCCATGACTATTCTGGCAGCTACCATGACTACGAAAGCGTGCAGGCCGTCGGTGTAGACAAGGAACTCTACTCGTGTGAATATCTCCAGTTCGTTGATACTTTTGTCTACTTCTCTCATAAGCTAGTCTGTGTGCCCCCACCAACATGGACGAATACGCTGCACAGAAACGGTGTGGAAGCGCTGGGCACCTTCTTGATTGAACCGCAAACTGAAGGCTCGGAACGTTTGTTGAATCATACAACAGAAGAGTCTGGGGAGATGAACTTCCCCATGGCGAAGAAGTTGGCCTCCATTGCAACACACTTCGGCTTTGACGGCTGGCTCATCAACATCGAGAAGCCGTTCCCAAGCGATGTGTGGAATCCAGAGGTCCTTGAAGCGTTTCTACGCCAGCTGAAGGCTGAACTAGGGGTCGATAAACGGCTCATATGGTAATAACCTCACATCCACTATCACGCATGACTGACGCATGACTCTAACCCAGGTACGATGCGCTCACCACTTCCAACAAAGTATCATACCAGAACGCGCTGACCAGCTCCAACCTCAAATTTGCTGACGCGTGCGAAAACCTACTCACCAATTATTGCTGGACGGATATCCATGTTTCTGAATCAATGAAGCTCGCACAGTACGCTGGCTTTCATGGCCCTTTCGCCAAAGGCAAGAAGAAGAGTATCTACTTTGGCGTGGACGTCTGGGCACAGAACAAGTCTAGTTTTACCCACCCTCGCGTCACATATCCTGAATATGGGGGCGGTGGTACAAACACTGGAGTCGCATTGGCCAGACTCTCGGATACGGGTCAACCGGTTGGCATCTTTGCACCAGCATGGTCGTTCGAGCATTTTCCAGGCCATGAGCGGGACGTCGTACGCACCGTCTGGGAAGGTACTTCACTACCAGAGGGTATCGAGTGCACCTGCGGAGACTGCACATCGCGTCACCCGCCAAATAAAGAGCGTCCAATCCTACATGCAGCCAAAGAGCGCGTGGCAGGCTCAGAACATTTCTTCTACACCGACTTCACCCGCGCATTCTCTCCACATGGTGACGACGCAAAACACCTATTCAACAACTGCAACACACACTCACAACTGGGCTCGCAATCCGTTCTTCCACGTCCAGCCAGCCTCTTCGCCGAAGGGGAATACGTCACACTCTCGCACCAAATAGAACACTCTCACAAACAAAACGTCCTAGTAATCAGCTTCATCCAAAATTGTCCAGCAGGAGACTGCGACGTACAAGTCTTCCTTCCCCTCTACAAACTCGACATGCCAGCCGATGGATCCCTGCAACTCTCGATGGTGCTAGACAGCTACGAGGATCCTAGACCACCGGAAATGGAGGACATGACGTTTTTTTTGTACTTCAAATCGGGTAGAACGACGCATTATCACAGGTTGCATCTATCGCGGAAGCCGATCGTGTTGCTAGATAGTGTGCCCGGAGCGAGGATAGAAGAGCTGGGTATACAGGTCAAGGGTCCGTTGATGGGAAGTTTACGTGGGCCTGTGAGGTTGGTGGGTTTCAAGGAGATTTGCATTTCGCCTACGTTGAAACTACCTCCAAGCTCTTCTTTCAGGATCAAAGAAGTACGGGTTGGAAAGCGCGGTGAAGGGGAGAGTGCGCATGATAGACTGTGCTGGAACTACGAGGATGATGCAGCGAAGTCCGAATCCAAAACGGCAGGTATGCCATGGAGTAATGTTACCGGTCCTTTTTCACACTTTGAAATTCGAAGTAAAGGGCTGCTGTTTGCCAAAGCGTATGCGTTGGAGCATGTTCTGAACGAGAAGTTCGTGGAGCGGTATGCGGGGCAAGAGGTTGGGGTTGAGGTTGTGGGGATTGGGTTTGACGGACGCACACTCGCGGAGACGAAGGTTAAGGTGCAGTTGTGAACATACAAAGACGTGGGTGCGATGCGATACGTTGGTTGGTCCCACTTCTTGCCATGGTACTGCACGGCACTGCACGGAGCGAACGAGCCACTCACGACTTCCGACATTCATATAGGGTGGGTGGGGGCGGCGGAGGGGCGGTGATGGAGGTCATCTCGATGCTAACTTTAGATTTGACGGTGTTGGTGGGCTGGGGAGATGGCAAAGAACTGTTCTTATACACATCTTTCCATGGTACTGCGATGACACGGCGCATATGAGCCATTCACGGCTTCCGAAAGTCATATTACGCTCAAATTAGCATAGGGTATTGCTACTGCAAGAATCTTGTTCAGACTCGCTGACCCAGCGTAGAGACTATGGGAGCGCACTATATGTATATAAAGCTCCGTTCGTGACCGGTGGTAGAGGCCATCTATATGTTGAGTATGGGTGTACTAGAATTATACAGCGTTGACAGGTCAAAGAGGGTGGAGAGAGAAAGAGGATAGAAAGGTAAGGAGAAGACGATTTATCGTATCCACTTCTTCCCATGGTACTGCACTGCACTGCACGGAAAGAACGAGCCACTCAAGACTTGCGAAATTCAAATCACGCCCAATCAGCTTCTCTCACATGAGAATTATTGCTCTTTCAAGAACCTGGGTTGGACTCGCTGACCGAGCTTGAAGACTGAAGTAGTGCGCCGCACTCTAGGTATATAAACCTCCCTTCGCTATCCTCTTCCTTTAAGCCAAACACTCCTCCATCATGCAAGCCCCACAGAAAGACCAACCATCTCCTTCCGAATCGACAAGCGAAGCTCACCAAGAACGTCCCTGTCCTTCAACAATGGAAATAGATGCCCTCAAGTCCGAGTGCGAATTCTACCTCAACAGCTTCCCGGGTAGAGATAGCCTAGCCCCAAACACGGCGTTCAACGGTCGTGTAAGGAAATGTCTCACCGGAGCGTACGACGACCACGCCCACGCCCCAGAGATCCTATCGGGAGTCAACAAAATGGTTTCGTACCGTAACACCTTAACGAGATCAGCAACAGAACTGTTGACCCTCGCGGGGATATTCAAGCCCAACGGATTAGACTGCGCGGAGTTCGACTTTGAAACTTTCCAAGAATCGCAGGAGTACAAGAATAAGAGTGGCAAATGCGAACATGCCTTTAGGCAGGTCGCTCGGTTCGATAGGGTCTTTTTTCCTCCTCCAGATGACGAGGAGGGGAGGCCGTGGGTTAAGCCGGTTAAGTATGTCGCTGCGGCGCTGACGCTGGATGATAATATCGACTCGAGCGAGGAGATTGCGGATGCGGTGCAACGGATTACATCGAGTATGTACATGAGCCTCTTCATTCTGCAATGGCGCTAACGACAATATGTACATAGGCTACCTGAAGTCTCTTCTTCATAAAGATGAAAAGGAAACCAACAACTCTACGGCCCAAAACGAGGTGCCCAACAGCCTCCCGACACCAAAGTACGCGCACTCTCAACCCGAGTACACCGCCGGTCCAGGGCTAACATACTTGAAGCTAGAATCATAAATCGCCTTCGTAAAGACCGGATCACTAGTCTTGTAACCCCCCGGAAAGCTAACACCACTCGGCGTAGCACTGCCACCCCCAGTAACCTTGACCTGGAAGCAACTAACATACGGCTGCGGGTTATTCGCACCAGCATGCAGCGCAATCGCCTCGGCGCGGACCAAGTAGTCCCCGGAAGCAATGTTCTTGGGCACGGTAAAGGCGCGCTTTCCGCAGTTCGCGTTGAGGATCTCGGTGCCCCAGGAGGCGGTTGTGCCCGTGTACCCGTCTTCGGCGACTTTGAAGAAGGAACCTGAGGTGGCGGTTTTGGCGTCGGCGACTTTGGCCATGTATACAAAGACGGGGCCGTAGTGGTTGCCGCCGATGGCGGGTTGGGAGCAGGAGCGTGCGTTGGGTTGGGCGTGCATTTCTACGGTTAGGGAACTGCCGGCTGTGGGGGTTTTGTTAGTATTTCATACAGTTCCACATCATCATATCCCCATCACATATTGCCTTGCTGGGCAAAGGATTGTGAAATGAACTCGAGGGAGCTTACCAGCGACTTCGCAAACGCCAGATGTAGAAGCTGGGCCGCGTCCGCAGAACATGTCGGGAGAGGTCAGACTGGTGATGGGGCTGTTGTCCTTGACAGTTCGCACACATGTGCCCGCTTTGTCTTCACTGCCGACCCAAAGTTCTTGCCAGGTCGAGTGAGCGGAGACGGTCGCCGCCGCAGCGAGGAAAACGGTGGCGTACTTCATCTTCGGATGGTTAACGGGATGAGATGGCAGAAAGCGCAAAGAGGGTAGGATGATTCGTATCGAGTCTTTTTCTCGACCACTGGCACCACTCTCAGTATTTATTCACCACTTTCGATTCTTTTGGTCATGCATACACCGTAGTACACTTCACCACAGCAATCTAACAGCGACGTTTAACATCCACCCGGGCCGCTGTACCAGTCTTTCCCTCGTCATCTCCGCACCTAGTCATGGCTTCCGACCACTATCTTCATCGTTTTCGCCCTCACCACTTAGATAGATTAACATCGCTGGCATCAAGCTTTCCTTGGCACCTGTCGGGTAGCGCGTGCCCCGTCAGGCCGTCAGCACTCAATTTGCACGACACGCGCTCATTCGCCAGCATGGGGAAAGCGGAGGCGCGAGTGTAGATGGAGAGATTTTGAACTCGCATGCGGGCATGTCGCCCCAGAGTTCAGCGTTTTACCTGATTGGGCACGGCATTGGTGGTTTGGTACCGATGTCACATGGCGCAATGTGGGCGGGTTTTGGGTTTTGGACTGCAACGGTGGGGCTTGGCTATATGGAAGTCGTATATTATATGCGTCATGGTAGTCAGTGGGACGGCTGCGTTGGGGCGGTGCGAGGCCGTCATGTAAGCGTTGGCATCTAACCTGTTCCAAGGTGTGGTGTCTTTGCGCTCTGGCGTAAAGCTGTCGATTACTTGTGCCTGAGCTATCGGGTTCTCGAAAGGTCGTTGTGATGATCCTCTTATGTTCCTGATCGAGGATGCCGATCTTTCGGCAATTTGGGCCTGGAGCCGCTCCCCAGGCTAGTCGGTATTTAATTCGAAACGGTGTAAAAACGCTAGAACATCCATCATTGGTTTTGAGCGTGTCAATACCCACAGCTGTTTTCTTCCTTTTCGCCATGAGTTTGTTTAAAGAAATGAGTAACGAAGGCCAATGGCGGAGAAAGAAGGTGGACGGGCATGGGCCTGAGCGTCGACTCCTCCGTGCAAGTTCTTCTCGACTGCGATCTCCGATAGATTGAGTATTGTTTAATCTTGGTCTAAGCGTAGGACAGTGTAGTGCATGCGAGGCTGTCCCAACCCGGATTACTTCACGCCTCTTCCGTGGTGGCATAATCGAGATTGCTTCAGATTGGCAACGTAGGAAGTGTTTGGCATCGCACCTCTATCGGAATCGACGCCAGTGGTATCCTCATCGCGCACGACGCAGAGTTTACCAGGCTTGCCTCGACGCCTTTCCCGTGCGTAGTCGTAGATGCCGATCCGCTGGTTCTTCTAGAAGGAAGGAAGACGTCTGGTGTGCTATCGCCGCTCAGAGTCTAAGCACCTTCCACCTTGACGCTCTTCTCCTTTTTCCCGAAGTAGTTCGCCAGAGTGTTCTTCTGCGCCGGCCTCTCATCCTTCTTTCCATCCGCCTTCTTCTTCCCTTCCCCAATACCCATCAACTTCTTGAACTCTTCCCATTCGCCCTTTCCCACGATCCCTCCACTAGCCTCTTTATGCCCCCTCGCAAAGCTCTCCCCAAGCCGTTTTCTCAACTCTCCGTCGCCTGCGACGATGCCCTCCAGCTTCTTGATGATGTCGACCTTCTCCTCTCCTTCGCGCGCTCTCGCACATTTCGCAACGCGGCACGAGAAGTTGACTTTGTCGGGGAGGTAGCCCTCGTTTGCGCACATGACGACTTCTAATTTGTTGGACTTGAGGGTGCCGGACCAGCTTGTTGCGATGACGGGATGTATTTGCGCGGCGCTTGATATAGTCAGAACAGCGATCGTAGCGTCAGCAGAGAACTTCGGGGCTGTGTGAGTGCAGCGTTCGGTCTCCCGTCTGACCTCCATGCTTGCATCTTTCAGCTTGTCGGCTTTTGAGATGTCTCCGGGACTGCTGGCGGAGATGACGGCGTCCCAGGCGTCGCGCACGTTGTATGCTGCCGATCTACGTGGCGCATTGGCCAAAGCCACGGCATCATTGATGGACTTTTTAGGATGTTGCTTGAATGTTGCGACCATGTCTGGAAAGGGGGGTTGCCACTTTATGCTGCTTCCGAGATCACCATGGGTACCTAGTGCTGCTAACCATGATATCTTGTCGTGAAGGTCAGGGTGTAGAGGAAGACAGATGGTGTATGTCAGTAGTGCGCTGGTTGCCACAGGTGGGCAGTCGTGTGCAGTCACATAATCGCATCCTTCTGGGAACCCGCCCTCATCTGCAAAGTGGTGGTCTACCACGAGGCATGTGTGGGGCGAATCGATGACAGGCGGTGTTTTTCGGCTGCCTTGGTCTAGGATGAAGATATAGGACGGCTTCATGGCTGTGAGAGCTTGCTTTGTGCTTTCATCATGTACATTAGAGCCTTTTGGTGGGAAGTAAACGGATATTAGATCAGGTGAGAGACCTAGAGCGGTGAGAGTATGATGAAGTATGGCACCAGAGGAAAGTCCGTCTGCATCCTTGTCAGGTAAAATGACTGTTGGCTTTTGCGCTTCAGCACTGGGGCGGATTAGCACCTGATATCTCATCCATCGAGTACGTCTTGTTGTACCATTCTCTGATAATCTCTCGCGCGCGTTCAATTTGCTCCTTCCTCGCCGGCCAGACATTCTCTCCCGACTCGTCCTGTCTTGATGGAGTAAGATGATATGCGGGGATCTCAGTCTTCGCCTTTGACGTCGTCTTTGTCTTCTTTGGTTTTGGTGGCGATATATCTTTCTCAGCTTTCCGTTTTGCTGGACTCGACATGATGGTGGATGCGTGGAGTTGCCGGGGTTGGATGTAATTGGCGAGTAGTGGCGATAATCGTGACGGATACAGGCTTAGTGAAGAGAACTTCGATAATTGCGCCAATCGACAGACGGGAAATCTCATTATACAGGTGCGACAAGATAGTTTGCAGAGCGAAACGACTGGACGCAAGGGTGAAAGGTAGGAAAGTATCGATGACGTCGTTGACACGCTAGTCTCTTTTTCGCCCAACCTCCCCATCGTACATCAGCACCGCGTCAAGCAGAACCTGCGCCCCCAACGCGCAATGCTCGGGACTCGTGTACTCCTCAGGATTGTGACTTATCCCCCCTTTGCTCGGCACAAAGATCATACTCGTCGGACACACTCTGCTCGTCCACGCACTATCATGCCCTGCTCTACTCTTCATCTGCACAACCTGACGTTCACCCACTAACCCAACTGCTGCCGTCCTCACAGCCTCGATACAATCTGGGTGGAACTTCGACTCTGGCAATCCCCACGTACGCTCCACGGAATACGTGGTCGCATCATCTTCTTCCTTGATGACCTGATCGAATGCGCGTAAGATGGATTCGGAAAGCTGATCGACGAGGTCATCAGTATCGCATCGAATATCCATCACAAATCCTACGCCAGCGGGTATAGTGGCTTGTGAACTGGTATCACTGCTGATGACACCCACGGTAGCTACACCCAGGCCAGTCTGCACAGCGGTATCTCTTACAGCAGTGATGAGCCGTGCAGCTGTGACTAAAGCATCTGCTCTTCCTTCCATGGGCGTGGTACCCGAATGCCCTTCTCGGCCTGTTACGCGAATGGCGAACCACTTCATCCCTTGCACGCTAGTCACAACACCGACTTGCTTTCCCTCACGCTCCAGAATTGGACCTTGCTCGATGTGTAGTTCGAAGTGCGCGGACAGGTTGTTCTCACGGTAATCGCACGGAGTTAGACCAAGGTATCCTGTTTCTTGTAAAGCAGTTGCCATGGACATTTTGTCGGTATCGCGGAGAGCATGGCATGCAGGTAGATCTGTGCTACTGCGCGTGCTCCAAACACCAGATGCCATCATTGCGCCGGGAAACCGCGCGCCTTCTTCGTTGGTCCAGTTTATCAAGGCGATGGGGTGGTGGGTTTGGATGCTGTTCTCGTGCAGGGTGCGGAGGACTTCTAGGGCGGATTGGACACCGAGGATGCCGTCGTATCTATGTTTCCATCAGGCTCTGATGATTGTGATGTTTGCTTGATTCTTGGTGCGCGTACCTCCCGCCTGCTGGCTGTGTATCCATGTGACTACCCATGCCAATTGGCGCTTTATCTGTAGCGGTAC